ATATGGTCAGATGTATGTAACATTATACATGTTGTCTATACATCTATAGGTATACAAATAGAGAGATCACAGAAAAAGATGTTCTAAAAAAAGATAATTTGTTTTTGTTGTTATTGTTTGTCTTTTTTTGTACACAAAAACAATTGGTATCACCACTTTGGAAAATTACATGGCACTATGTCCCAACAATTCTGTGGAAAAGCAAACATATTTTTAGCAGCAAAATTTAGCACAGTTCCAAACTGAAAACAGTACAAATGTTTATCAATAGTAGTATGGATAAATATATTGCAAAATTTTTTTAAATGAACTATTTCTCATACAATATGTAAAATCTCAAAACCCTAATGTTGAGTAAAAAATGACAAATGTGAAAGAATTTATATTGTATGATTCCATTGATATAAAACTGAAAAATAAGGAAAGCTAATTTGTGGTGGTAGAAGTGCTAATAGTTACACTGGGTTGGAGAGGTATGACTTGGAAGAGGAACAAGAGTGATTCTGAGGAGCTGGTTTTTCTATATGTATAAAACCAGAATATATATATAATCTTATAAACACATCGTGTGTGTACTTTTCTGGGTAATTGAGCATCAACAATAGCATTTTTTTAAACATGCAAAAATAACCAGGAAAATTCTGTATTATGCAGTGTGTGGGAACAGGCTAGATCTATGAAATATTGTGATGTATTATGCACATTAATTAAAAAGAATGTGGAATTGACAGAGGAGTAGAAAATACAAGAACATAGAGCAGGTTCAAAAATGAACCTAAACACAAAATGGAATCTTTGTCCTATGTGTATATATACAGTTACTTGTAATGTTGGGTAGTGTTAGATTTCAACAAGCTGAATGAATAAATCAAATTAAAATCCTAAAGAAGGCAAATCTCTAAAATCCAAAGGAGGCAAATCTCTAAAACAAATAATTTATAGCCACAAGCCCCCATGTAAAATGTAGAGTAAAATTTCCCATTACATCTCAACAACTAACAGAAAAAAACAAAACAAAACAAAAAAACAGACTTTTCCAATATACTTTCTTTAAGATGTTGAGTAGATTAAAACTGTGTGTGGTGGAGGTGGTAGATTAGGGTAACAGACTTTCTTACTGTGTAAGAAGGTCAAAAACTTGACTGTGCACCCTTTTGCTTATAATCTGTATGGAGTGAAAAAATGTTTTGTTGTTGTTGTTGTTATTGTTGTTGTTAAATAGTACAGGATTATTAAAAAGTGTGTATCATTTTAAATGATAGAATCCCACCTCAATCAAGAAGTGATTTCTTGGTCTCTTTAATACGAAAGTCCAGAAGTAGATTTTGCCCTGGAAGAGGTTGAATACAGGAGATTAAATAGTGTTATCAGGAATGGCTTCTCTCTCAGATGACTATTTCTCCTGTGATCACAAGATAGCGACCAGCAGGTCCCTGGCCAGCATCCTTCGGAGTTCTCACCCTGTGAAAAAGTGAGGATCTGTGTCCCAGCATTCCTCACAAAGGCCTCATTGAATTTCTTTGACTCCAAATGTGTCACACCCATTTCTGAACCAAACACACTGCCTAGAGAAATGCATTAATTTGAGTGGTTTAGTCCTCGATTATATGCTCCATATTTGAGCTGTGGAGATATCAACCCATGTGCTAAGAGAGGAAAATAAAGTGGGCCCCTTCTCCAAGAGAGATCAGAGTGAGGTCACTAAGAAGAGGCTGAATGACTCACAGTGAGCAAAATGTTCTCTCTGGGGTAAAATGCACTTAGAACGGGAGCATAAGAAGGAGCAGCACTATGAATTTAACCTTGACATTTGTTTGTTGTTGTTCAAAACTAAATAGCTACTAAGGATTGAACATTTGTGTTTTCCTAAAATTCATGTTAAAGCCCTAATCCCCAATGCTATAATATTTGGAAGTGAGGTGTTTGTGAGGTCATTAGACCATGATGGTGTAGCCCTCAGTAGTTGGTTTAGTGCCCTTATAAGAAGAGACACAAAAGAGATGATCTATCCCTTCTCCTTGTGAGGATAGCAAGTAGATGGCCTTTTGCAAATCAAGAAGAGGACCCTGACTAGCACTGAATCAGTTAGCACCTTGATTCTGGACATCCAACCTTAAAAACTCTGAAAAAGGGAGGGATCGGCAAACTCTGAGCACTTGGCGGGGCACATAAAAACACAAAGGGTACTTGGTCCTATACCAGGGTAATGAGGGCCAGTTGGAGGCCCAAACTTCACCTGCATGCCTGCATGCAGCCTACTTGTGTAGTTAATCCTTACTTGTGCCCCACATCGGTATAATAAAATTTTAATTTTTAAACTGTGAAAAATAAATTTATGTTGTTTAAGCCACCCAGTCTGTGGTATTTCATTAAGCAGCCTGAGCAGATTAAGATGATAGCCAAATCTCAATTTTTGAAAAAGCACAGAGACTGGGCATGGTGACTCACACCTGTATCCCAACATTGTGGGAGGCCAAGGTGGGAGGATCATGGGTCCAGGAGTTTGAGACCATCCTGGACAATATAGTGAGACCTCATATCTACAAAAAAATTGCCAGGCATAGTAGCCCCGGTTACTCAGGAAACTGAGATAGAAGGATCACTTGAGTCCAGGAATTGGAGGCTGCAATGAGCTATGGTTGCATCCCTGCACTCCAGCCTGGGCGACAGAGCAAGACCCTGTCTCTATGGAAGGAAGGAA